GTGTTTTCTATTTCCATCCATTTGCCTGCAAACTTCAAGAAGTCCTTGTTTTTTACTGCTGAGTAGTACTCTAATATGTATATATTCCATACTTTCTTCATCCATTCTTCAATTGAAGGGCATCTAGGTTGTTTCCAGGTTCTGGCTATTACAAACAATGCTGCTATGAACATAGTAGAGCATATATTTTTGTTGTATGATAAGGCCTCTCTTGGGCATATTCCCAAGAGTGGTATTGCTGGGTCCAGGGGTAGGTTGATCCCGAATTTTCTGAGAAAGCGCCACACTGCTTTCCAGAGTGGTTGCACAAGTTTGCATTCCCACCAACACAATGCTCGCTTTAATTTAACAATCAGTTGAATGGCAGAGCAATTCCAAAAGGAGAAAAAAAAAAATCAGAGAAACAAAGAAACGTTTTGCTTTGACAGGGATCTTATGACATAGCCTAGGTTGACTCAAAACTAAGATCCTTCTGCTTCAGGTTTCTGTATGTTTTGATTTCAGTCACATGCCTGATTGTATCTTTAAACCAAAATTCATAAATTTCACAATTTATTATCACAATGTATACACTACAGATTGTAAATACACCACTATTGGTGTCTTGACCTGATGGCCATGAGTTTTGAAGCCATGGTAAAGTTTTGCTTCTTTTTATTCTAGCATTTCAAAATGTTTTCAACTTAGAGTTTATTTTTTATATTTTGTAAACACTCAGTTTATTTGATAACTATTCAAAGTTTATGATTTTCATACTCATTCAATTTTATGCTTCTGTACATACTGGAGATTTAAAACTACTTTTGTTTCATCAATTTTTTATATTCTGTTAATGTTTGGACTCTTTCATAATTCCATTTATTTTAAAACACATTACACAGCACTGCAAAAGATATTTTGTTTTGTTTTTATTCTATATATGTTGTACTTTTGAGTTTCTGCTTTTTGTTAACTTTGTAAACTCTTTTGATGAAAAGCTATGACATAAACATAGAGCTGAGCCCTGGCATATACCAAGTTGAGACACTCACTACCACTGTCCTGCTCCTCTGAGTTTCCTTACAGTAGTTGGTTACCAGACATGTGATTCCCATAGTGACATCACTTCCTGTGATGACTAGGTTGACTTCTGAAAGGCCTTCCTGATGAAGTGTCACCATGTTCAGAAACACATCCCCCATACCTTGTTTTATTTAGGTGTCATAGATTGACATGTGAGCACTGTGAAATTTCCTCATTATTAAATGAAAACCATTTGCAGTTGGAAGGGTTTATACTTTAAAACATTTTTTTTTTTTGAGACACGGTGTCTCTGTGTAGCTTCGGTGCCTGTCCTGGAGCTAGCTCTAGTAGACCAGGCTGACCTTGAACTCACAGAGATCCACCTGCCTCTGACTCCCAAGTGCTGTAATTAAAGCCACAACAACCCGGTTCAGACTTTTAAAGGAACTTTTTGAGGTCCACAAAAACTTGTGCTAAGACAATTACCAAGAATTTTCGTGGGATCCACTCTACTTTCTCTAGAAGTTTCCTATTTTCTTGTTTCATTAGGAGCTGCGTGCTCTGCTCCAACAAGTCTACCTTGGTAACATCAACTTCAGAAGCCGATGCCATCCTCATCTGGCAGAAAGTTGAAAGCTGTTGCTGCCAAAATCTTGCTGATTCCTACAGCTTCTTCCTCGTTAGTAAAAAAATATTGAGTATATTCTATAGGGTGTCATTCACATACTTCTTCCCTTTTTTCTTTTGTTTTGTTTTTCAAGACAGAGTTTATCTATGTGCCATCTCTGGCTGTCCTGAAACTCCCTCTGTAGACCAGGCTGACCTAGAACTCAGATCTGCCTGCCTCTGCCTCCTGAGTACTGGGATTAAAGGCATGTGCCTTTCACATACTTCCTGGCCATTCATATACTTCTTAGTGACATTTACTTTTGAATTATTAGGATTTGAACCACCCTGAGCTTGACGTTATTTTCTTTTTTTTTTTTTTTTTGAGTTGAGTTCTGTTTTTTTTAATTTATTTATTTATTTATTAAA